CCAATAAAGAATTCTATTCTATTCTATTCTATTCTATTCTATTCTATTCTATTCTATTCTATTCTACTCCATTCCATATTCTATTCTACTTTACTCCACTCCACTCCACTCCATTCTATTCTCCAGCCTTCAGGACTGCTGCTTTGGAGAATAGGTTCACCCCCTCTTCTTTGTGGCAGCCCCTCAAATATTGGGACACAGTTATCACGTGTCCCCTAGTCCTTCTTTCATTAGACTAGACATGCCCAATTCGTGCAACTGTTCTTTTATGTTTTAGTCTCCAGTCCCTGAAGAAATAATGAAGTCTCAACAAAATGAGGTACATCAGTAGAACAAAAGGGGAATGTTTGACGTAAGGACTCCTAGCTGCTAGGAATTTTGGCATAGGTATTACTAGATTGTATCTTTATAAAATATATACATTTTCCCCATCCTTTCTTACACTGGTCTAAAATTATAGACATTGTGACATTCAAACGCTTGCATCAGCACAAATTAAACCCTGAATTTCTGGCGGGAGTGGGAGATGTGGCTTTGAAATCTTTGAATAACTTTCAGAGATAAATTTCCTGAATCTACTGGAATCTCAACCAGAAGGTCTTCGGGAGAATCTTTCAAAGCTTCAGAGAGAAAGAATAAAGCCATGTCTTCCTCGCCCTGTTTTACTCACCAGGGCTTAACCTTTGGCAACTTAAGATCTAGAGGAAGATGAACTGGGCAGAGAAGAATTGGGAAACCTCTGAAGCATGACTGGAAGAGCGGAGTGGGGTTTGTTTACTGTGGGGAAGAGAAGATTAAGAGATCAACCATCTTCTAAGGGGCGAAAGGCCCTGAATATAGATGTCCCCTGTGGCTTCAGAAGTATGAAAATAGTAAGAGAAGCATCTTAACAGAAAAAGATCATAAAGGGGCACGGTTGAGTTGGCTTCACACAGTTCTTATCCTCTTGAAGGATTAAACTAGAGCCAAACACGGTGGCTCAGTGGCTAAAATGTTGAGCTTGTCAATCAGAAAGGTCGGCAGTTTGGTGGCTCGAATCCCTAGCGCCGCGTAACGGAGTGAGCTCCCATTACTTGTCCCAGCTTCTGCCAACCTAGCAGTTCAAAAGCATGTAAAAATTCAAGTAGAAAAATAGGGACCACCTTTGGTGGGAAAGTAACAGCGTTCTATGCGCCTTTGGCACTTAGTCATGCCGGCCACATGACCACGGAGACGTCTTCGAAACAGCACTGGCACTTCAGCTTAGAAACAGAGATGA